TGTTGCCTATAAAGTACAGCAGTTGCAACGGATAGATGGGGTTAGATAGATGAACGGATGAATGGATGACTGAATAGATAATATGAGGTTTTTAACAAAAAAAAAATATGGCAAAAAAGGGAAAAAAAAGAAGGAAGAGCCAAAGAAAAAAGTGAAAGAAAACAAAGAGGACTAAATATATCAATAAATAAATATATAAATATATGTATTTTAATAGTGTCTAATAAACAAAATTTTTAAAATTTATGCATATTTATACGTGAATAATCAGTATGACTTTCTGAAGAAAGAAAATACGGTTTTAAAAATGTTGCAAACAAAAAAGATCGAAAACAAAAGTTGCTGGAGAACAGAAAAGACGTATAATTAAGGCAGCAATACAGCTTTAATAATAAAATAAAAAATCATCAAAAAAAAAGTTGCATAAACTATAAAAATTTAAAAAAGTAATTTATAAATGTATATTAAATTTCTTTGTTTTCTTTGCTGTTGCAGTTTACTTACGTATTTGCAAACTTATTGACTTAATATATCTGTTAAATAGAAAAATTTTTTTCTATCGCATAGGAGCTAACGGGATTTTCAACAGCAATTTAATTGGTGTTATTACTGTCGCCATTATTAACGTTGTTCTTAGATTTTATTACTTATTATTATTAATTAATTTTTCCTTTTTCTTCTCCATTGTTTTACTACCGCTAAAGTTTTGAGCATTAATCTTTCTCTTTTTGCCAGACTTTTTTGATTTTTGATTAACAGCAATAATCCAACTAAACTTTGAAGAAAATGATTTTCCAATGCAGTTTTTCTCTCATCTTTTCTTTGTCTTTTTTCCTTTTCTTTTTTCTAAGGTTTTGTTCAACGATAATAATGATAAAGTTTTTGGTGACAAATTTTATTAATTTCAATAACTTTCTTCTTCTAACTCGTCTTATTCTCTTTCTGCCGTCATCGCCAAAATTGTTGTTGTTGTTGTCGTCGTCGACGTTGCTGCTGTTGCTGTTGTTGATTTTTAGCGGTTATTACTG